TAATTAGTCGGTGCAAACCCAGGATAAGTCACAAAAGTCCTAAGGCAGGGTGCAAAATCTAGAGGAATGGGCCAGATGGTAGTTCCCGGGTTAGTATGATAGGTTATAAATACAGTTAGGATCAGAAGGTTTAAAAGGGTAACTCTCTAGTTGGGTTATAGGTACAACATCTAGTGTAGAACCTGCAGGCAGACTACTTAAATAGGCACCCAAAAGGTGCACGTGTGGCTAGTTGTATCTTCATTGTAACCGTAATAACTAATAATTACTAATAAAAAGTCTCCAGGCCAAGAAGGTCACCTTAAAAAAAAAAAAAACAATCTTGGACATTTGGACAATTTTGGATATAAACAAGTCAAAAAAGGCTTTGGATAGCCAAAATGTACACCACTGTTATTGTAGATAGCTTGTAATACTGGCTCAAAGGCTAGTATATATAAAAGAGAAGATAAGAGATCTCCTTGTTGGACTCCTCTTTCTACCCTAAAAGGTTTTAATAAGAAGCCTGATTTGAAAATATAAACTACTTGGTTAGCAAATAACCCAGTGTTGTTTGGTAATATCATTTTGATTTCTCATTATTGTAAGTGTATCTAGTGCCGCATCTGATATTTTATTGTTTTTTTATTTTTATACTTTATTTTTTTTATTTATATTTTTATATATTTTTTATTTTTATTTTTATTTTTTTTATTGGGAAAATGTTTTTCGTGCACCTGCACGATCATGCATCTCCAGATCGCCAGATATTTTTGCAATACGCCGACACATAACCACAGGATCTCAGAATTTTTTTTCTTTGTGCCCCCAAATTTTTTTATTTTGAGTTCTTATCTTTATATCTTGTATATCTGTTGTTTTTATTTAGCAAAAGCGACAACGAACAAAGAGCTTCTAACTGGTATTTTTCACACCTAACATTAATAAAAGATCTTTATTTAACTTAACGGTATTATCTTTAACTTACTACTCTTTAATGCTTTTTAGCTTTAATAAACTTGATAAGAATTAGCCAACTTACTATCGCTACCTTTAATTTACTACCTTTAACTTACTTATATACTACTTTTAACTTACTACCTTTAACTTACTTATATACTACCTTTAACTTACTACCTTTAACTTCCTTTAACTTACTTACTACCTTTAACTTACTTACTACTTTTAACTAACTTACTACCTTTAACTAACTTACTACTTTTAACTTGTTACCACTACTTTTAGCTTATACTTTTAATTTAGTACCTTTAATTTTGAATCAAATATGCTTACAAAATATAGCCGATAACCAGAACAAAGATATTCCTGGCAGTAAAATAAATTCTCTCTGCTATCTAGTAATAAAAACACAATCCAAAAAAAAAAAAAAAAAAAAAAAACACAATCCTAGCAACTGCAATAAAAACTAGTAATAGCAAAAAATAGTGATAAGCAAAGTATAATAACAAAACAACGTGGGTTTTAAAAACGAGGTAATATTTAAACCTCTTAATTTAATCTGAATATATTGATTATGACTCTAGCATCACCAACCTAGAAAAATTTCACTTAGCAAAGTTTTTTAGGTTAGTAATGCTAGAGGATTTGCGATAGTATCTTATTCCTTATACTTATATCTTTTAATCCAAAAAATAGATGACGCATAATGAAAGTACATCCAATTTCAAAGACCTCAGTAATCTTGAGTTTGGTGAATCAACACATGGTCTTGAGTCTGATGAGCCGATATATGATCTTGAATTTAATAGACCAACGTATGATTCAGTAGTTGTTGTTCAAGAAAATAAAGATGTCGAATTGGACTGTTCCAAAGAGAAGTTATACAAAGGAATGGTATTTAAAAGTTGGGAAGAAGCATTTGACATGTTAGAACTATATTCTCAATATGAAGGGTTTAAGCTAAGAAAAGGACGTGTTGAAAAGACTTCTAATGGAACTATACGAAAAAGAACAATGTTGTGTGAACACAGCGGCGAATATAAATCTAAAAACACGCAATTGACTAAAGAAACAAGCACAAAATATATCAAATGTCTGTGGCATGTAAATTTGTCACAACCGCAGAAGAATAATCCTAATGGAAATGTTTATATTACCACTTTAGACAATAGCCATAATTATGACTTGTCTCTTTATAGAACAAAATTTTTTAATGATAGTGAATTTACCCAAGAAATATATGATAGGGTAGAATTTTATGTGAATACTGTTAAGTTAAAGCTGCTACAAATTCAGAGGGCTTTACGGAAAAAATTTCCTGACCATGAAGTTTACTTTTCTGAAATTTATAAAGCAACAGCAAAATATTATAGTGGGAAACGAAAGGATATGTTAAATGATGCTGTATCATTGTACGAAGAATTAGTAAGAAGAAAAAATAAAGTTCCTCGATGGTATGTTGCAATTGAGTGGGACCGAGAATCACATAGCCTTCAAAAGCTATTTTGGATATCTCCTGATCAGATCATCCTTTGGATAGAGTATTGTGATATTATACTTAGCGATAATACTGCAAAAACAAACCAATACGATATAGCCCTCACACTTTTTTTATGTGTTGACAATCACGGGTCTTCCCGACTAGTTGGATGTGCGCTTATGAACGATGAGTCAGCAGATTCGTATCAGTGGGTTTTACATCAGACAAAACAGGCCACTGGAGGCTATGTACCTGCTGTTATTATGACCGATACTGATCCGGCTTTGGATCTTGCAATCTCCAAAGAGTATGAACAATCTTATGCTATGCATTGTATATTCCATATATCACAAAACCTTCCTCGAAATCTCAAGGCTAAGTTGGGTCAACAGTATCAGAAGTTTGTTTAAGATTTTTACACTGCTAGAAATTCTCTTGTTCCGGAAGTTTTTGAACAAAAATGGAAACAGTTAATTAAGAAATATAATGAGCCTAGAGTTGTAAAGTATCTAAAAACATTATATTCTTTAAAAAAAGCATGGGTACGTGCTTACACTACAAAGATCTTCACCGCCGGCATACAATCAACGTCTCGCGTTGAGAGTTACAACGCTCAGGTCAAAAGGCTGGTTTTAAACTCTAATATTAGCCTACTTGAACTTGCTGAAGCCTTGGAAGCAAGTATAGAAGAGGAGATTAAAAAAGCAAAGTATGCTTATTGGAAGACACAAATTCCATTGACATCGTCTGCCGCTACATTACCGCAAACATTATTTCCCGAACTCGATAACACTTTGAGTTAGTTTATTACGCCTGAAATACAAAAAATTCAGCATGCTAAAATTAAAAGTTGCCTAAATTATCATGCATCTGCTATCACAAAAGATGAAATGATTAAATATCAAGAGGTATGTACTATAACTATATTTTCGTGAAATAACGTGCAGGGGCGTTATTTCGCGAAAATACGGTATTGTTTTTTAGGGATAATGTTGCAAAATAATACTGAACTTACAGAATCTTATTCTATTTAAGCCCGAGTCAGATAATATCTTGTTTGTAGAAGATGACGAAGATATTATGCAAATTTCAATTAAGTATATATTGGAAAATATAGACATCAACGAAATAGAGGAAATCTGCAGGATATCTAACGTAAACAAATCAACAAAGCAGCGGATACGTAAACAAGCAAATCAAGAATAGAAGTCTAGATTGGTATGCAAGAACCAGTAACACAGAATGGCTCGGGGATATCAGAACTGTCGAAGAGTTATGCAAAGCTTGAGGAATACCGAGACATGTACAAAAGATCAGTAAATGAGCAGAATTTGATAGTAGAAAATCATAAGTCAAACATTTTGAGAAAAGATAAAGAAATTGCAGCACTTATTGGTACAGAACCAGAAACAGTGTGCGTGTTCCGAAGTATAATTGAGCTTTATAGCTATTGTGAGTACTTGCGGGCAAGAGAAGAAGAATTAGTAAGTCAAGATAAAAGTACAGCTTCTGTGTTAAAGAAACAGGACATTAAAAGTTTAATAGACTATGAAGTTAGATATGTTGACTATAGTATTAAAGAGATCCAGTCTGACAAGAAGTCTGGGTGTATAGTGAAAGAAGATAGTAGGCAAATAAATAAGCTTGAAGAAGTAGTTGCAGTAGTTCCAAAAAAGAGTAAGCGACAAGATAAAGATCATAGTGAAAATAAGGGTAAAAGGGCCAAACTTAACCATGATAGTGTGGCAAAAGCTTTGAAAATGCATAAAGAAGTGGTAGTCGAAAAACAAGACTAGTATTCCCAAAAGAAAGTGTATTAGGAGGACCAAGTACTGAGGATGGGAAGATGCAAGCTAAAATACACCAAGATACAGTGGTTGTAAAGTCAACGCATGTATTAGAAGTACCAGCTAAATTAGAAGTTAGTAAAGAAAATGGTAGATCAATGAATAGTCGGTCAGCAGAGCATCACATGAATCTGGCACAATCTGAGACTCATACAATATGGAATATACCTCTCAAAGCACATCCGGCACAAGTATGCAAATGTTTCCATTTCTATGGTAAAATAAAATTCATACAATAGAAACCATTCAGCAAGAGTAAAGCACTTGAATTCTCAATTAAATTTTGGAGTGAAAGGAGAATGAGGGTGTTTAAGAAGGCATGGGCAATTCATTTCGAGGAAGGGAAAACATGCAGAGTAATACCGGGCAGTTTTGAAAGAGGAATACTTGAAGAAAAAGCATCCTTTAAAGCAGTAATTAAGAATGTTCCAACATCAGCTATTGAAGTGCTGCTCCTGCGTCAGTTGAGGGTAGTAAATGCATTAATAGTTTAGATTTATTTGTAATAAATATCTTATTTGCCCACTTTATGTGTATCTGTCTATTCTCTATATACTGTATTAATAATAAGTTCTTTCGTATGCATTTATTAGTTTATAAGCTTCTTTATACAAAGATTCTAATTATTGTAGTATTAATTAAAAATTATGTATTAGTTTTTTTTTTTATTAATTGAAAAATTAAATATATATTATTTAATAGAAATAAGTAGATTATTGATCAATACATGTTTTATTTTATCATAGTCAAAAATTAACAAATAATTGGTGTATTTAAAAATAAGTATCATAATAATGTTAAATTATTACGATCAGAAAAATAAAATAAGATTCACTAATTTTAATCTTGAAACCTACCAATATATTAATCAATTAATGTTAATCATTATATTCTATCAGTTTACTACAATGTATACTGATATAATAATATCAATATATATAGTCTAGTCTTTACATCTGAATTTATATAATGTATTATTTTGTAGAATAATAGCATAACAGCCATATTGCATATATATAGAAGAAATAATTAAAAATATGAAAATAAGGTAAAGAGCAATATTGTAGTCATAAAAAAGAAAAAATAGTAATTGTGCCAAATCTTATTAGGACCGAAGCACAATAGATTCAATAATAAGAAAAAGTATTATAATCAGTATTAAAAACTTTTTAAGAAGGCATCTTATAATTTGCATAGATATAATTATGCTATTGTTATAACCAAACTTCATATGATCAATTCTTGTAAGAAAGAAGTTCTAAATAAGATTAGATGTTTTTTAAGAAATTAATAAGAAAAAAAATATTGTGGTTAGTATTAAGGTTTTCTTAAGTGCATCATACGATTTACATAGATATAATTATGCCATTGTTATAATTAAATATTATATGATTAATTCTCACAAGAAGAAAGACGTTCTAAATGATTAGATACTTTTTAATATGTGTATATTATATACGAAATAATATATATAAGAAACTCAGTTTGACCTTTAATAAAAATCTAATTTTATTTTAAACTTTGAATTTAGTTTTGTTATAAAGTTATATATATTTCTATTAGATCATAAATTCTTATTTTATAAATGATTGTTTTAAAAAAAAAAAAAAAAACATAATGAATAGTCATAGTGAATATACCTCTAATATTGATTATACTTCTGATAATTATATCCAAGATGATAATTATATCCAAGATGATAATTATACCCAAGATTGTGATATTCAAGATAATATTGAATTATCTATTAGTACATCCAGAAGAAAAGTTGTAGAAAATCCTGTAGAAGAACCTAATCCAAAGAAGATTTGTGTAAATTTTTCAAAGCCAAATAAGACTACTAGAAAGACATATGTTTAAAAATATTTTGAAGAAGTTGGTAATGAAGATATTTGCAAAATAATCATATTAAGAAATAATAAAGAGGTTGATTGTGGCAAAAATTATAAACATGATGAAGGAACTGGAAATATAAAAGTGTACCTATGAATAGTATATGGAATTTTGAGACCTGATGAGATAAAATCGAATTCAGATCAATTAAGTATAAGCAAAATGATTAAAAAAGTAGTACTATATAAAAAGTCTAAACAATCAGAGTTAAAGAAAATTACAACTAAATGGATCATTACAGATTTTTTAGCATTTAATATTGTAAATAAAAAAGAATATTGAAAAATAATGCAATGATTTGACTCTGTATTCAAACTACCAAATTACAAATATATTAGAAAAAATATTAATATTGCTTATCAAAAAGGAGTTACAGAGCTTAAACAATTGCTTGCAGTTACTTGTGAAATAGCCTCTATAACCACAGACTTGTGAACTTTATGTGCCAATAATAGGTATATTGGTATAACTTTTTACTAATTAATGCCTAACTTTGAAGTTCGTGATGTATTACTAGCTATTGAAAAGCTTAATCATCTACATATAGGAAAAAAAATTAAAGAATTTTTAAATGCTAAAATTAAAGAATTTGAATTAGTAGAGAAAATTGTTTGTGCTGTAACTGATAATAAGGCAAACATAAAAAAAACAATAAAAATTTGAAATGGTGTAAAGTGCTTATCTTGTACTATATATATACTGTATATACTTCAACTTATAGTCTTTCATGCTTTGAAGTTTATAAGTCTATATATTAAGCATATTAAAAAGCTTATTAAATTTTTTTGATCTTCTAAACAAAGTCAATGCCTTAACCAGGTGCAAGTTGATATGACAAATTGTAAATCAACTCAGACAAATCCTATTCAACTTTATAATCCTAGTAATAGATTTGAAAATCTATCTAAAATGGAGGATAATGATGAGACAAAAATTTATAAAGCACTATCTATTTTGCATACCATTGAAGACACAAAGACTCATTGGAATTTATTTTATAAATCTTGGCAAAGACTCTTAAAATTACATCCAGCAATTGAATAGCTTTCTTGAATTTTATCCCTACAAGATAAAGAAGACTCTGCCAAATTAGATAAGTGCATGCTTAAAGAATATAAATAGCAGTTATTAAAAGAGTTGGTAGAAGTATTTAGGCTATTTGATGAGTTGACAATTTACTTTAGTAAAATCTAATATACTACTTTTTCAGTTATCAATCCAAGTATAAAAGCTTTAAAGTTTGAATTTGTTGATATTTTATTTGATGAAACTATTATAGATACCCTTAATTATAGTAAATAAAAGTTAATTAATTTATAGTTATTATAAAGAATTAATCATTAACTATATTAATAATTTAAATTATAGATGAAGCTTTAATAAATAATGATTTTAGTAATGAAGATCTTAATGATAATAATGAAATAAAATTCTTATCTAATCCTATAATTTCAAAACTTCAAGAGATTATTTATAAATCCTTATGACACTACTAGCAAGATTTAGAGAATATTAAGCTAATAGCCACTTTATTAGACTTACAATTAAAGTTACTGAACAGGTAGCCTATAGAGATTCAACAAGATATAATTAGTCAGCTGCGTAATAAATTTCAAACTTGGCAAAGTATGGTAGTAGCTGATGAAACAGAACCTCCTCTTTCTAAAGAAACTACCACTTCATGTTTTATAAGAAAAATATTTAGCATTAGTAGTAGTAGTAAACAAACAAATAATAGAAGTGAAATTGATAACTATCTAAATAAAATAATAGTACCAATTTTACCTGAATCTACTGATATTTATAAATAGTAGTATAAAAATTAACATTCTTTTCCTATTTTAAGCAAAATAGCCTGTAAATACTTATCAATCCTTGCTACTTTAGTTCCTAGTAAGCATCTTTTTTCTGATGCAGGAAATCAAATCACTTCTAAAAGAAATCAGTTATTATCTGAAATTATAAGTAAAATAATGTTTGTTAAGTATAATTATTTGTAAAGTTTGAAAATAAATATTAATAAACTAATAAAGAAGTAAAATTGTTATAACGAACTACTAGCCTTTATAATTTTGTAATCTAATTAATGTTAACCATAAGTACTCTTGACTTGTTTTGATCTGTTTTGAAACACTTTTCTAATCTCTCTAACTATATATATTAATAAAATTGGGAATAAGTATTAATAAACTACTGTAATAAAAAAGTAACATTGTTATAATAAACCACTAGCCTTTATAGTTTTATAAGCTAATTAAAGTTAACCTTAATCACGGCAGCTAGTGTGGAACCTAGGGCAGACTACTTAAATAGGTAACCAAAAGTTGCATGTATGGCTAGTCTTACTCTCATTAGTTAAATAATCAGAAAGCTTAAATAGATAATCTCCTAGTTAGGTTGCAGGTATGGTGGCTAGTGTAGAACCCAGGCAGACTACTTAAATTAGGTACCAAAAGTACAAATGTGGCTAGTTGTATCCTTGTAAAATTGATGTAATATTGTAATTATCCGAATAAAGCTACATGCCAGGGACCTAAGTGGTCACCTTAATATTTTAAAAAAAAAAAAAAGTTAACCTTAATCAAGCATAAGTACTCTTGATTCATCTTGATCCATCTTGAACACTCTTCTAATCTCTCTAACCGTATTAAGCTTATAGTCAATCAAAGCACAAAATTCTATTGTAAAATACTGGTTAGTTAAATTGACCTTTTAGCTTTAAAACAGCCGGAATTTTATAATATTAATTATATATCGAAAAAAAAGCAGGTTAAATCACCCGGAAGTTTTGTGCTCTGTCAATTAGAATTTCGGAATATTAACCACCTGAGTTTTTTTTTATCTGACCTGGGTGACCCAACGGGTGACCCGTCGGGTGACCCGGGTGGTGCCTTTTTTTTAACTGACCCGTTTCACCCGGGTGGCACATTGCTCACCCGTCGGGTGAGCGGGTGAAGATTATTTAGACGGGTCAATTCACTAGTTTAGACTGTTGTTTTTTGTATTTTTCAAGTTTTCGCTTTTCTTTCTTGCTGTCAAAATTCTATAATTTGATT